AGCATCCACCCATGGTCTATCCTGGTTTTATTTACTCAAACAAATGTATTAAAAAAAAACAAAAAAGCAAAGACAATCACAGGGCAACAGAGAAACAAAATCACACAAAAAGACAAGACTGAGACTGTGTGTACTATACATGTTTTAGTGCAAGTATGTTCACACTGCCACAGGTGCCTAGGCTGCCAAGGGTGTCCTCGCCATCTCCCACTGCCTATACGGCACTGCACCGCTCCCCCATGCTGGACCTTGCGGATGGTGGGGCCCACATGGTCTCCCCACATTGCCTCTTCGGGCTGAGCCCAGGCGGGTTACGTGGGCTGCACGGCCACCAGGCACTCGCCGAGAGATGCTACCCCCAGGCCTGGCTCCAGGGGTAGGTCCCAGTGACCCTTTCCCGGGCAGGGTACACAGTCTTTTATGTCCGTTTTTCATGGAGGATACTTTTGGATATTTTTGGATTGAGTTAGTCTGGGTCTTCACTCCAGACCTGTTCGCCCTGGGAGACCCTACCAGGAGCATATTGCTCCCAACAACTTAGCTCTGAAGATCCCTAGACCACACAAGCCCCTTCGCCACATCAAGGCCCTGATCCAGGAAGGGCGAGACTGTGTGTACAATACATGTTTTAATGCAAGTAAAGTACGGGGACCCCAGGGTTGTCCTAGGAACCTAGGGATTATATCTCCAAGTTGGCCTGGGAGCGGCTTGGGGTCCCCAGGAATGAGCTGGAGGAAGTTGCGGGGGACAGGGTCATCTGGGATTCTCTGCTCTCCCGACTGCTATCGCGACCCTACCTGGATTAAGCGGTTAATGATGATGATGATGATGATGATGTTCACACTGGAAAACAAAGCAGTGTACTGTAGCATACTGTTAGTACCCGAATGATGTACTAGAACTGCTGAAAAGTAAGTGTGGAATGTTGCACACTGTTTGCACTCCACAAACGCAGGCTGCTGTACATAGTGGACGAGGGGGAACCAGGAGGATCTGCTGCAGTTTGAAATTTCTGATCGAAATTAGATGTCTTTTCATTTCAATAACTGCATTTTCGTACAATGTTATTTTGATTAGGCTTTTTGTGTTGTGCATCTAAGAATTTCAAAATATAATAAAAATAACTGGGCATGTTATTATTAACTTTAGCTAGCATTAGCTAACTACTAGCCATTTAGTGCAAAATGTAAGTGTTTGATTTGAGATGATGCTACCCAACAAAAAGCCATGCTCTAAAGAGAGATGTACAGTGAAAAGTGTAAAAATGGTACATAGTACATAGTGCACAGTACCCGGATTGAGACACACAGAGACTTGGCCAAGCTAAATATACACAGATTAATGAGGAGTTCAGAATTCTGGGGAGGTGGATTTTTAAGCATGTTGCCAACAACATAACAGTATGACTTACTGCATCAGTTCCTTTTGCTTTTGTTTATGTAAAGTACACTGAATTGCCTTTATGTACGAAATCTGCTATATAAATAAATATGCCTTGCCTAGAAATGGTTAAAAGTATGGCCCATAATCATGACAGTAGTAGCAGCCATCTTGAAACCTGAATTTGTCTATACTCATACTTCATTTGACATTAACTGACAACTTTGAGGCAAATCAGTGGAGTGTAAACTTCCTTTACAAGTTTCACCATTTCTCATTCTTTTCCTGTCACTCTCTACTTCTGCATCTTTTTCCACAGAGAACAGTATGTTCACAGAGGCAGACTGTTGTGTGGTTACCAAAGCGACAGTGCTCACAGGACCAGGTTGGAGCCTGCGGCTGCTGTGTATGTGATGGCTCGTTTGAGGCTCCATGGCTCCATGCCCAGTCTCTGCTCTCCAGAACATTCCATGGTCAAGAGTAGGAGTAGAGAGGCACAGAAGGCCATATACAGTCAAACATGCAGCCATTAAATTCCCACAAACTTTAATCACATTGAAATTTACATATATCCTGTTTCATTTCAAATTGAACAAAATGAATAAAGTAATTTAGCCATGCTGCATAGATTCCAGCTCAGTCTGAGATAAATCCAATATGCATAAACTTAATTACATTGCTTATAGTCAACGTGAATCGTAAATCATAACATATTCCCTTGCGTGACATATTTCATAATATGACATAGTACGTGAAATTCAGTATTAGGGAGGGTGTTCAAGCTAGCTGAGTCTTTTTGCTCAGTGATAGGTAGGGATATTCCATAAAAACCCATTTTAAAAAAGTCCAGCACCTAAGCATTATTTTTTATTATTAAGTGAATTGTTATTACATTATATTGAGTAACTAAATCAGTATTTTTCAATTAAAAGCCATTTGTTTGAGGTACTATCTCATAATCTGAGATGCTTTCTCATTATCTTGAGAAACTGTCTATATTATGAGAAGTTTTTCATTATGTTATGAAAATTTCTCGTTATTTAATTTATTATATAAAATTATATTATTTCAAAATAATGAGACAATACTTCAAAATAATGACTTAGTATCACAAAATAATGAAGTAACAATACACTTAATAAAGAAAAAAATAATTATTAGGTTAATTAGGATTTTTTATATTAAGTGGTAAGAATGAGGTTCCATGAGTGAGAGGTAAAACAAGATATTATTGGTCAATATTATTTTCCCCTACTGGTGCATGGTGACATACTCAAAAATCAGAAGACTATTAAGAGGCAAACAAAATTCATTGGGCCTCATTCACCAACTGTTCTTAAGAAGAAATGTCTTCTTAAAACCTGCGCAAGCAGTTTTTATGAAGATTCTGACGTTCATCAATATTTTCTTATTTTGAATTTGTTCTTAGATAAGAACAGAATCTACACACACACAAGACTCAAGAGTACAAAGGTGTGAACAATCCTGCAGTTTAAAAACACGTCATGAACCTGATGTAGACTTTTTCTTAGGACCTTTCTAGAAGAATTTTAAGAAAAAACTTGGGTGAATGAGGCCAATTATATTTTAAATATTTTTTGTTTTTAAGATGAACTGTGCTTAACATGACCAGGAGCTGAACAGAAAATCAAAAAAGGTCCGGTTTGATTTCAGACTGGAAAAAAAACACCAACTTTGTGTTTAATATGCACCATTTGTGCTTGTGAAGGAGAGAAAGCGAAAAAGAGAGAGAGTTAGAAGCAGGTAGAGAGAGAGAGAGTTTCCATTTCAGTCCTCTGACATGTATGTGCTCTCTTTATTGCCACAACATACTCTCCCAGTACTCTGTCCAGTGCCTCAATGATGTCCAATAATAGAGCTGTTAATTTCACAGACACAATTACAGAACAACTATATTTATAGGCCATCACATCTTTCAAACAATGAATAGCATTTATCTGTGAGCAAAGGCCTCACTTACATTTAACTGGATTCACATACCAGAGGCTCATCCTTATTTGACATCACATTAGGTGAAGTATATGGACTTTCATATTTTTGTGATTATTTTGTCAAAGAATGATGACACTAACATTGTTTGTGCCACCCCAATAGTGGGGAAAAAACAAGCAACAAACTAACAAAGAAAGAAACAATATTTGGAATATCTAGTGCTTATTAGCATGCTTTTTTGGGAAAATTCTTTTTATAAATGAAAATTAATACAAGGCAAAACAAATCAAGGCAATTAGCCACTCCTGGCATGGTTTATTTTCATTCTCGAATAATGTGCGTTATTCATTTGTACGTTTCTCTTAGTGCACATACCTAGACCTTTTAGAATGAGGTAGCCAGGTTAGATCCAGAGATTTTATTAGGGTGGCACACTGCTAGAAAAAAAATTTAGCACTACTGTATTATTAGGATAGGACATAAAAAAACTTGATGCCCCCAGTGATGCTACAGCCATCCATGGCCAGGAGTCCATAAGAGAACAATTGGCGTGTCTCTTTTGGGGTCGGTAGAATGGCCCTCCTTCTCCCCACATCACTCAGCATGATGATAGCCAGCGTAGGTGTCTGTTAGCTGAGTGTCTCACTTTCAATAACTGGGGTGGCAAGACAGATGATCATGCTTTATGCTAGGGTGGCACTGGTCACCCCCTTGGCTATGCCTCTGGTGGAACTTTTATTAGTCAACTTTGGTATACTCTTTTAAAATACATTTGAGAATATATAATTTTACTTAAGATTTTTTCTTTCTTTCTAATTTTACATTTTATGATACTATATTTTATGTTACTCTAATTATATTCACTTTTATTTTTTATTGTTACATTTGCTAAATAAAGCCAGGCAGTGTGACTTTTACAGCTTTGCAATCTCTGCCTAGCCCAGCAATGCAAAAGGTAATCCACAGGGTCAGTTAGTTTGCATTTAAATCTGACTGGCATTTCCTGTAGGCTGGTACTGAGTGGGAGAATAATTCTTACGCCAGGCACTTTTCCCTTCCTGGTGAAATTTTATACTGAGACATGTTTCCTGCCTCAATTCCTCCACTGCTGTGAAAAAAAAAAACACAAGTTCAACCAGAGATCTCACTGTCCAGGGACACCTCATGAATTTTTAGTTAGTTGTCAAAGCTAGATTACATATCAGCCTAGTTTGGTCTGAGCTCAGACTGTTCCCATGTTGACATATGGCACGGGCGGAGCAATGAGTGGAATGGTGTTTATTGCAGGTCAGTAGCGTTTGCGTGTGATCTGGCTAGTGGCCTTACGTACCCAAGCAGCTGCACCTGACCAGCAACATGGGTGGGGGAAGTATTTAGGAGCTAATGAGAAACAAGCATGACAAACAGGCAAAATCAGAAGTGCTATGTATTATTCAGTCTTTTGTTTCACAATGGAGGAAAAAAAATTAGAATCACTGAGCGAATTCTTCACAACATGTACACTGCAAATGTAGCATCAGCAAACCCTTTATTTTAGGCTTTTCTGCAGAGCTCACAGTTTCCTCCCTTTTTTCCTGGTTATCCGCTCCCTCTGCTGATAGAAGGTTAGATTCCCACATAAATTAAATTGCCACATAACAATAAGAACTTACACCAACAATTAATTATTCAAGTCCAACAATGCCATTTGTGTTTATTATATTTTTTAAAAACAGAAAAGCACTGTGCATAGAATAAAACAACATGAAAGTGTGGGCTCTTCTGTCTTGTAAAGATTCCTCTAGGTTTTCTAGTCCTCACAAAGGGAATAGAGAAGCTGTATTTGCTCAGCATACTCAAAACCTGGGCTGTGAACACAGGGCCAAAACAAAATAGCACTAAATATCAAACAAAAATCTCTCTTCATTGTTAAAGTATACAGTGCTCTCCACAAATATTGGCACCCCTGAGCAAAACAGTCTGTAAAAAGACATCCTTCTTTATTGCTTATCCATTTAATCTTTCAGTCAAAGTACTAACAAAAATCTAACATTTTGAAGTACAATGATTGGGAAAAAACCTAAAGGAAATAAATAGTTTTCTCAAATCTGTGTGTGTCACAATTGCCAGCACCCCATTTAATATTTGATGAAGCCTCCCTTTGCAAAGATAACAGCTCTTGGTCTTCTCCTGTAATGCTTATAATGAGGCTGGAGAACACATGGCCAAGGCCCTAGATACAGAATCTCTCCAGATCCTTCTTTACAATACTGATATCAATACCCAAATGAGCTTCTAACCAATTGCTGAATCACTGAATGACACTGTGTGCTGTGAATGTCCTAACCAGTCACAGATTACTGTACATATTTGGACCAATCAAAGCAGTCACACCGTCCAATAATTTTGGTCAAAATAATGCAGGCCAATCCTTACCACATCACATAAAGGGTTATTTAGAGTACTTACTAAAATATTTTTATATTTATATTTAGAATTAGAGTTTAAGAATGCATGGGAACATTTTAAATCATTACAATCACAATATGTAACAATATAATCACAACAGGGTATTTTGTGCAGCTCGCCCATATCACTTTGGTAACAATTACCGGCCAGGTGTCTCAAGTATGAGAGGGATGTTGTCTAGCCGAGGCTCATTCACAATGTCTCGAAATGCTGAGATGCCAATCTGTCCCTTCCCGATGTCCTCATGACGGTCTAGGTGGCAGCCCAATTTACCTGTAAAAGCCATGTTAGTTAAATGTAATGACAATATGAAGTTGTTCCTGTACCAATGTAGGAAAGCTTTTTACTTCCTTTTAACTTTCCTACAAGCACAAAGATGATATTCAAAGGAATAATAATGAAAACTCTAAACAGGATCTTTTTATGTAATTGAAGACTGGACCCTATGAATTGTTAGACTACCACCGTTTACTATGAATTGTAAATGGCTTTTCTGTTCATGTGATAAAATAAGTGTTATATAAAATGAGGACACCTTTTGAGTCATTGAGATGAACTGCTCTTAAGTAATTCAGTCCAACCACCTGGTCAAATTCTTCAAGCATAGACTTCACCCCTCCCCTTGAGGAAATATCATAACCTGCAGAGACAGTATTTTTAAATTAAAAAAAAAAACGTCATATAACGTTACATCAAATCACTGATGCGAGCTGCAGGACTATTAAAAATGAATGTCTGATGTGTGAGTTAATATTTTTCCATCCAAAATTTTTTAGTAAACCTAAAATATTTTGATTTCAGTAACAAGAAAAAAACACTTATGCTTTACTTCTTACCTACTGCAAATGCATGACATGTGTCTAGACACACTCCCACACGTGTCTTGTCTCGAACAAGATCAATTATGCTCTTCAGCTCATTAAACTGTCCACCCACAGTACTTCCCTGTCCACTCATGTTTTCAAGCACTGTTGAGAGATTAAGAAGTAGAGAAAGAGAGGGGGAGAGGGAGAGTAGTAAAAAAGTCATATATGTTGAGTTTTGAAGGAGCACACAGATGGCAACATTTTTTTTTTGAGGACATTGTTTTCAGCTTTTAATGTATTCAGTTCCAGAAATCCAGTATCAGTGTGCCAGACTCTCAAAATGCAAACATCACATTGCTTCAACTCAGCTCAGGCATGATTTTAACTGAGCACCTGGTGATCGGAAGGAGATGTTACCCATGGAAATGCTGCATTTCTTGAGACAATTTATTGGTAGGGAGCAATAAGGAACCAAGCACATTTTAGGAACTACTTCCCAACTTTCAATTATTTTGATTATTGAGTAATATATTCGAAAATTAATTCCCAACACACAATACAATATTACTGCCGCATTCTGGTTAAAAGTTATGATGTTTTTAATAATTATTTATCTTCAGAGTTCTGTTCGAAGACCCATTTTGAGGTGATTTGATAAAAACTCAAGGAGTAGCAAGAAAACATCACGTTTCAAATTTGAACAATTGCAAAACAACTGTACCTTTTTTCTGTGGCGTGGTGGAATACATAATACAATTCAGACTTTTCTGTGCCACAACATAAACACTGTAAAGACTACGACTGTATGTATATTTGAAGTTATAACAGACAACTTGTAGACAGGAGAATTACCACTCTAATGTCTTCTGGGTTTCTCAAATGCTAGAGGGAGCTCCCAAGTCTAAAATGAATGGATTAAGATGGAGCATTTGAGCAAAATCATAATTTATAAATGCTTAAACATTTTAATATAAAATAATACATTCATTTTCTAAACACAAAACAGCTAAAAATATTTTAACACCATTGTTATATTTTTAAAAACTTTTGAATTACAGGACTTTCAAAAGGCTCCTTGTCTACGCTTATAACATCAGTGAGCGCGAACAGCCAATGAGCTGCTCCGCTCGCCAAACAATCATATCTCAGTAGCAGTAATGTACAGGTTAGTTTTCTTTGTTTTTCTGTGAAATACATCCTTCTACTTTTTAAAATGAAATAAAAGTTGAGGGCAAGTGAATAGAAATTATTTTAACTGTTTGTTTTTAGCCATTTAGCTCCATTCACCCCTATTCATTGAGGACTCGCTCGCAGGCACCCTCTGGCGTACTGCAGTCCTGTTTTTGATGTAACGGGGGAAACACGAAGAGGCCAAGCTCCTCATAAAGCGGCTCTGATTGTAATTTGCATTTCATGCTGACGCTTCCTCTGGTGTCTGGAGAATATATTGCCATTCCTGATTCTACAGCCAAGATATGTTTAAGACAAATTTCCATAGTTCCTGTGCAATTTTGGAACACACATAATTTCAAAAGTTTTAGTTGTTAATAAGATGTATAGTTTGAAACCATTATCTTTTTCAATCATAGAAAGAAATAATGACATTTAAGTAAATTCTCATTTGATTAAGCATTGTAGGGGCCCACGGAGACCAATTTTATCAACACTTTGCATGCTTCCTCAGACAATTGTTTTGTACAATATTTTCAAATTTGGTTATAATGAGATTAAAGAAAGAGTGATGGATTTGTAGCCCCTTACATCAGAATAAGCAAGGCCGAACAGAGTAATTGATGTCTCGTGGCCATTCTTATAAAATTCAAGGTTGTTTTAAAAAGTATTCACCAACAGACTCTACAGATTATTTTAAGACCAAATTTGAGAAATTTTAATAAAATACACAGAAAAATAAAAAAACTAATTTACCAAACTTTGAAAAATTGCAGAAAAACTTTAAAAAGCAAAACTTTCAAAAGACTTGCATTTGAAAAAAATACCAGTTTCTGTGCTATGCATGATGTCAAATCAATCAAACTTATTCTTGTTTTTGTTAATTGCGCCAATTAAGGTCAAACAGTATAGGCAAAAACAAGAAAAAAAGATTGCTTAAATTTGTGTTAATGATTGGTCGGTGCTAAGCTCTCCAAATGCCTCTTGAAAGCTTATTGGCCAATGGTGGCCACACTTGTCCAATGATAGAGATGTCCTTAACAGTTTACTTATATAGTGCCCCACCGATGCAGCATGCAAAGTTTCAGCTTAATTGTCTTTTTTTGGATTTTGGGTTGTTATAGCACCCCCTACTGAATAAACTGTATAAAACTTGGTGGGCTTCCACAAAATCATGTGGGGTATAGGCCTGTCAAGTTTCATGAGCTTTGACCAAAGCAATCCTGATCTGTAGCCACTCATGTGAATTATGATAAACCCGGGGAAGATTAATTGGCATGTGGCAGCCATTCTTTTTTTTAATTATTCACTTCACTTTACTTTACTGTGGACCTCATGGTTCAGGAGATATGAGCCAAAACGTACAGTTTGCTCTATAGCGCCACCATCTGACCAATTTGGGTCATTTCACTTGCCTGAGTAGGGTGGGGCATACTACGCATACCCTACTGGTTTGGTGTTTGAAAGACTTAGTGTCTTCTTCCTAATCAGTTTTAGGGCAGAAAAGTATAACAAGAAGAAAAAAATCTTAGCAACAGCAATAGGGTTCCATGCACCTACAGCGCTTGGACCCCTAAAAAGGAAAAAGTAACTACACAATGTACGCTCACACAACTGAGTCCGGGAGGTAAAATAAAGCTCACTACTCCTCAATTTAGAGTGTGTTATTAATTTTAAATTATGTTATGCATGTCTGCAAGTCAGACTGTTAAGATATGACTATAGTTATTTTTTTTAAATGTAATCAATCTAACCTTAGCATGGTGGCATGTTGCCCTTTCCAACTTGTCTAGTTTTAATCAGCTGGAACAAAGCAGTGCATCTCAGTGGTGTAGAATGTATTGTTATTTTTAACAAATGTTCCATAAAGCTTGTCCAACCTCGTAAAAGTAGCTATGTAAGTGTAGCATAAATAGGTCACGTTACAGTAGTATTGTAGTTGAAAACAGATTGGTTTACCAGTGACAATAGCAGGTGTTTGCTGGTGAGCATGGTTTATAGCTTGGGCAATCCTCTTGATGCACTCCTCTGTGCTAGAGCCCATGGAGGCCCCTGGGTGGAGGTTAAACTGAGTAAGGCCCAAAGCACTGCAGCGGCTGAGCTCATCTACCAACATGAGCTGGCTCCTAGCAAACACATCTGAATCATAGCAGACATTAAGCAGAAAGCAGAACAACAAAAAACATTTTCTGGAGGTTTTAGACCTGCATGCATATAGGCGCTGGTATTTTGTTATTCATTCACTTGAAATGTAAGGTAATTTGATGGTATGTAAAAATGAAAATGTTTTAAGTGTTTTAATTTCACATTTGCCAAAAACAAAACAAACAAAAGCAATATTTAGCCCTTATCACAAATCTAGTCAACCAGACAAGACATGTTTGACATCCAAAGTTTGATTCTTTAATTTTACACTGGATCTATAAGGCTAAAGTAAACAACAAGTAACTGAAACCTGTAACTACCTGTTAGTGCTGTACAAAATGCATGCACGGCATTCATCACAAACTTGTCTCAAATGATGTCATGTCATATAATCTCAAGTAGACTTGCTTATGATTTCTGACACTTTATAACAAATATTGTTAGGTTTGTAGCTGCAGTGTAAAATGAAAGAAACAAACGTTGGACACCAAACGTTTTGGCAGAACTTTAAGTATCAAAAAATCTGTAGAATGCACATACTGAGTTGTTAATTGCCAAGTTTGGTAGGTGTGTTTGTACATGAAAAGCACCAAATTGTGCTGGCCACATGCCCTCCAAAACTAGAACTGAAGAACCACACCATAAAGTGTACACGTGCTGGACAAACCTTCTCTGGGTGACCCACAGTTCATCAGGTAAGATCCGTGTGGCAGAATGTGAGCCGAATCAAAGCCATACTGAGCACAAGCCTCCTGGAATTTGACTGCAACATCCGGATCGAGGGCAGGTCTTTGCCAGCAGCGCTGAGAGCCCAAAAATAAGCCAAAACTGCGACCCCCTATGTCCACACTGGCTTCCACTGCTTTCCATATACCTCCTTTAGAATGTGGAGTATTATTACATATCTTACATTTTACTGAAATTACATTATTAACGTGCTGCATTTGGCTTACCTGCTATAGAGACATGAGCCCCAATGAACTTTTTTCGTCCTTTAGTCCTGCCGTTCTTTCCTCTCACCACGTCGTTGATCCTGCATTCCGAAGGTTTTTCTGTACGACTTGTATCTGCGGTTTCCTCCACTTTCGTAAGATTTTCTTCTGCTTTCCTCCTCTTCTCTCCTCTTCTTCGTGGACCCATGCTTCTCGGTCTTCGATTTAATGAGGGACGCCAAATGGCAACAGCCGGTTGTATGCAAACAACCTGAAACGTCTAGCATTAAATCAACACAAATTACGTTACGTCGCTAACCATAAAGACAAATATAAGTAACCATGAATATTTAGTCACTTTAGTAACTGGGGGTGCGAGTGATTTTATAACCAGTGACTTGCATGCTAATGTGATCACACAGCGCCACTGTGTGCCTTCTTATTGATACAACTTGAGATAAACCCTGATCAGGCCCTTAGTTAGGGAAATTCAAAATAAACAGCATTACCACACATATAAATACTTTTTCACGTTGGTACGTTTTATATATGTTGCCATGTGTCAATAAAGGCTTTTTATATTTTTCTTTAGACGGAATTGGCCGGGTATTTCTTTGCTCTAGGATTTATTTTGTACATGCCTTCTGAAGGCAGATTTTCTTTTTACCACTGCCAGCATGAAATCGTTACTTTGACTTTTTCACGTTCTTTGCATCTAAAGACTGGACACAGATTCACACAAATCATTCTTATACTTACAGTTTAACCAGTTTGATTTTAAATACAGTTTGTTGTACTGATAGAGAATTAAAAACTCCAAAGCACATTGCTTTTTGAAATATGACGTCAATGTTTGGACAGCCTTTGAAGAACGTATGAAGAAAATAAATGTCTGTCTGCGGGAAGGGATACGCTAACCTATGTTTGTAATCAATAAATAAAACCAGACAGAGTACTGTCGTTCTTGGTCAGTAGCAATCTGTGGACTTTTAATACTGAAGGTCAAAAATTTCCCTTTGCTGCCCCCCCCCCTTCCGTCAAAGCTGCTCACACAATTCACACCGAGCAGTAAAATGGCCGACCGTCAACCAACTGACTTTTCAGCGCTTTAAAAACGATTTTGCATTTGTTCTTTTCGTTTACATTATCGTATTACAATATATCGTTACAAAACAGCACTGCACAGGAAACATTTCCGTAATTAGCTGCATCATTGCATACTGTTAATTGAGAAACTGTATTTCAAGCTGCCTCGAATGCCTCAAAATTTAGACTTTCGCACTGAAGCACTTTAGCAGTAGTTAGCTTCCAAGCTACATTTCATGTAATTCCTGAGGTAAGTGGGTTTGCTTCAGCGAGTAGAATTGTTCACGTATTATTCGTTACACCGACTGCATTCGTGTGCGTTAAAGGAACGAAAGATGGATATTTTGAAAAAATGCTGACTAAAAAAATCGAAGACGATGTTTTCGACGACAGAAGGGTGTCTGGATAGCTAGCTAGCGTAGTTTAGCACCGTTAGCCAGCTAGCTTAGCCACTGCAAGCTACTCGGTTTTTCCAGCGTAAGTGATCGCGGAGCATTTTCCAGTTTTGACTACAGGGTCAATATCAGCATTAACATTCAGTATCAACATCAACATGAAAAACCTAATATTGGTGGACGCCGGAAATGTTTGGGTGAGGCGCGGGTAGTGGACAGTATCGTAGTGCAACAAATTGGCTACGTTAGTTGGGCTAACTAACCAGCTGCTTAATGCGATTTGTCGTATGGTGCAGCTTTGCACACAGATCGGAGCATCATATGTTGGTTATTTGCTTACCGCTGTAAGTCCACGTGAAGCTTCCCCGTTTAACAACTCTCGAGAGGATCAGCGATATTGAACATTGATTAAAACCAGCCGTTTGGGTCCGCTCTGTGCAAAATATGCTCCTTCAGTATACCCGAAGTCCTGACAGTGCGGAAATTATTATTATAACTTGGTTGATCTAACTTTGGCTAGCTATCTTACGTTGAGAGGTTGTCTGACAAGCCGATTGTTCTAGATTTGTTTAATATAAGGACTTTGTTATTACGTTATTATTTACAAGCTACGCACTGTCTTGCACCAAATGGCATGCAGGGGAGGAAATGGGCGGGTGAACGGAGTGGCAACAGTGTCAAAATGTATTAACCTAGGTTAGTTAATTCATACGCTAACTGTAAGTTAAGAATGTGTGTTTCAGTGCTGGTGTTCATTGGCAATTTCTGTGTTTTTATCTTACAAAAACGGCTTGTAGCCAAGCATTGCTTGGCATGAGTTGCAAGTTGTGAGGCTTTTTAATAGGTGCATGTAAATACATACCACAGGCTAAATAGCTGTCAGGGTGCACAGTTTTCGTCATCGGAGTTAATCTGTCTGGATGACAGTACACGAACTTATGTTAAAACTACCGTTTTAACAACTAGGCAAGACCTGGTCACTAACGCTAACTGCCAGGTTCTTAGCTAATGTGGCTGACAGACCGTCGTCAGAGCCGTTCTCGTATTTCTCCTGAAAGGGTGTTAATTGTACACATTTCATTGCTTTGCTCAGTTGCGTTTCATAGTGAAAGGGAATGGTGGAATCGAAAATCGCAATGCTTTTTGTTTTACTAGAGAGGATTATCAGGAAAGGGAACAGCAGTTCATGGAAGACAAGAAAAGGAAGAAAGAAGATAAAAGGAAAAGGGAAACCTCACAGAAGGTGAAGACGCTAATATGTCATCAATATATTAGTCATCCTTACTTCTATTTGCATCATTAATGTACCTTATTTTCATTTTAAAATTGTAACAGTTTGTTTTTGCTTCTTTGTAGTACATTTGCTGACAAAACAATTTTACTCACCGTACTTTCAATATTGTTTTAATGTTATTTAATGTTAATGTTATTAGTGGTCAGTGATGATGAACACTTAAATTCATTAACCGTAAAGAATAACAAGAAAAGTCATGGTCATTAATAATAGTTTTACTTAGTTTCAGAATGTTTTTTTAAAATATGCTTGTGTGTTGTCACCAGTTTACTTGCTGATTTTTTATTTTTTTTTTTACATTCTACTTTTTGTATTTCAGGTGGTCGAGCAAAAAAACAAAGGTATTTCACCATTTTACATGATATAAATTTATAATCTTTCTGTTGTGTGTCAGTAGGTTATGTCTTGTGTTTATTGGAAGTAGCAAACGTATTGCTTTGTGTGTGTGTATGTGCCATCGTTATTGTTAAATGAAATGAAAACTTAATTGTCTTTTACGATTTGTTGCTTTTTCGTTGTTTATCTGCTTTCTTTTGAGTAATTGAAGTGTGTATGCCCCCCCCCTTTTTTCCTTTTGAATTTATCTCTCTCTCTTTTTTTTTTTTTGAAATCACAGTGCCAGAACTGACCAAGCCCCCATCTGCCCAGTCTCTTGCCACCCCCAACTCTGTATCCCCCAACCCTGGCCCTGTCCCTTCTACAACCTCCTCCATTGCCACCCCGGCTGCTGGCACCCCCCCTCAGGGTGGGAACAATGCTAAGCGGCCGGTGGTGGCCAACGGACAGCCCTCCCCCAGCACCCAGGCCCCCCAGCGATACATGCCCCGTGAAGTGCCCCCTCGATTCCGTTGCCAGCAGGACCACAAAGTGCTACTGAAGAGGGGCCAGCCACCACTGTCCTCCATGCTGCTGGGGGGAAACAACAGCGGGGGAGACAGCCCCAATGCAGCAGTGGCTGCTGCCTCAGGTGACAATGACTAGTACATTAATATAAAAAGCAGTAACCATTGACATTTGACTTGAGTGAAAAAAGAATGTGATTTGGCACTTCATTTGGTATGCTTTGTGAGAGAATCTTGAAGCCATGTCCCTTCCTAAACCACCCAGCGTTTTGGTGGTTATGATAGTATGCAGAAGTTTAATTTAGTTGATCATAATGTGTAATTGAAACTTGATTACTCTGATTGTCTGTTGACTTTGTAGTTCTAAGTATTTTCTCTGGTTCTCTTCAGACTCCAGCTTGGGTTCTGCAGGTCCAGCTGCTTCCTCTCTGTCCCACATGTCATCCTCTTCATCAATCGCTGCTTCTTCTACTACTACTACTACTTCTTCTTCTTCAAATTATGCAAATTCCATGTGGGGGGCGAGCTCTGGCAGCCAGCCCCTCTCTCAGGGCAGGGAGAAGGTGATAGTGGATGGGTCGGACCTGGAGGAATGGCCCAGTATTGCTGCTGGAGATGGGGCCAGAACAGTAGAGGCATCAGTTACTGGAGGAGCAGATGGCAGTGGAATATCGAACTGCAGTTCCTCATGGGGTGAAAGGCATCTCCAGCAGCAGCCGAAGGTTGTTGGAGGAGGGAATGAAGGTGGCAAATGTGTCAATTCTGGTAGCCCCTCCCCACCTTCATCCTCCTGTTCAACCAATGAATGTATGCAACCTAGTAGTGTTGTTTGGGGGTCCCAGGGAGTCATAGGAGGAAATGCAGTAGCAGCAGGGTCATTGCCCCCCCTATCCAAAGCTTCCCCACTCCCAGGGACTGAGTGCTCTGTTGGTGTCAGCTGCGGAATTCCAGGTGCCAACTTTAACCCTAATGCCAATCCCTCTGCCTGGCCAGCCCTGGTACAGGATGGTGCTGGTGCAGCTGCAGTTGAGGGTGGACCTTCTCCTCTCCAAAGCTCAATGTCATTGTCTGCCAACAACTCAATTTCTGTGAATCAAGCCTCTCATCAGCACCAACATCACCAAATGCAATACAGAGACGTAGAGCCATCCTGTAGAGAGTGGGGTGGTACAGCACTGGAGCCAGGAGCAGGACCAAAAAACACAGCAGTGAAGGAAGGGGGCGATGTTGATTGTGGAAGTACAGGAGGAGGGGATGTCTCTGCCTCTTCTTCATCCTCCACATCTTCATCTACTTGGAGAGTTCAGCCTTTTCCTGCAAATTCCAAAATCGGTGCCTCTAGAACTGAGACTAGGGAGGGTGGAACTGGGGGAAGCTCTCTCTCTTCTGAAGGGGGACACTCATGGGGCTTCAGCAGACAGGACGATAAACAGGGTGGGAGTACATGGGGCACAGGAAGTGGTTGTCAGATGTCTGGGGTATCTCAGGGAGCATGGGGTGGGGGAGTTGGGGAGTGGGGTAATTCTAGCGGTGTTGGCAATCCGATTGGGGGAAATGTAGATGGCTCAAGCAGTAACAGCAGCAGCAGCAGCGGCAGCATTAGTAATCCTTCAGTTTCTTCCTCCACACCTTCAACTATGACTAGAGCTTGGGACAATCAGAAAGGTGCTGGAGGAGATGGAGGGACAGGTGACTCCAGTGAGTGGGTAGGCCAGAGCAGCGGAGGTGGAGGGGGTACCTCATCATCCAGTGGTGGAGGAAACACAAGAAGTGGCAATCAGCATCAGGGCCACCACCGCTCTCATCAGCCTCCCAATGCTGAAGTGGCCTTACAAAATCTGCTCAGTCGGACCGACCTGGACCCCAGAGTGCTGTCCAACTCTGGTTGGGGGCAGACGCAAATCCGACAAAATGTTGCATGGGACTTGGAAGGAGAAGGAGGAGCAGCGGCAGGTGGAACTAGATCTTCTATTACGATGAACACGCCAAGCCATCCACCTTATTCTGGCCCTACTGGAACATCAACCACTGCCCCTTCATCTTCATCTCTGCTCCCTGACGCAGCTCAAAACACAAACTTGAACTCTAATTCCATCCTTGGACCTGCTTCTGTCTCGCCTGGTGAAGGCTGGGATAACAACAGCAGTAGCAGCAACAGTTCGTCTTTGCCCAGTCGAGGTCCACAATCCTCTGGCAACAGTATTCAAAACCCTAGTGTTTCTCAGTCCGGAGGTGGAGTGGGTAATTCAGCAGGAGGGCAGAGCAAGCCTTTTGGGGGCTGGGGAGAGTCACATCCATCTGAGAGCCAAGGAAAAGGTTGGGGCAGTGAGGGCCAGGAGTGGAGAGATCACATAGCAGGGAGTGGGTCAGGTGGATGGGGAGATTTTCGACAGCAGGGTACTCCAGCAGGTGGAAACTGGGGAAACAGTCAGGAGGAGAAGGGGACTGGAGGTTGGAAGGAGATGGGAAGAGGGGATGGGGGAAACTGGGGACAAAGAAGTGGTAGTGAATGGGGAGAGCGGGAGTGCAAAACAAGCAGTGGGGGTTGGGGTGATGGGAAGGATAGTGGAGGTACAAGTGGGGATTCAGAAGTGGGTACATGGGGCAGCTGGGATGAAGGGGCTCCAAGGAAATCTTGGGGAGCAGGAGGTACAGAGACAGGGGGTGGAGGAGTGGACACGGCAAGCAAATCTCACTCGGGCTGGGGTGGAAACATGCACCTTTCACAGATGCCAAACAGCCAAACGGCCGCTCTGAAAGGTCAGGCACAACAGCAACAACAATCACAGCCCCAGCAGTCAAAGTCGCTGGATGCAGGGGCCATGCAAGGGGGCTGGGGAAGACAAGGAGGTTCTTCAGCCCAGAACCAAAGTTCAGGATGGACCTCAGGGCCCATACCCCAAATATCCAGTGGTCCTGGAAGCAGTTCAGAGGCCAGTGGTTGGGAGGAGCCTTCGCCACAGTCAATAAGCAGAAAAAAGGAAATAGATGATGGTACATCTGCTTGGGGTGATCCTAATAACTATGTCTATGTCAATTATTGGGACAAGAACGACAGGCCATCTGGCCAACCAGTGCAGTCTCAGCAGCAGGGGCCTGCTCCACTTCCACCAGGAAGAATGCCCCCAGGCTCTGGGAACAGGGACATGAATCTCACACACTCTTCCAACAAAGGCCCCGCAACAGGTATTAACAGCTTTTGCCATTTCTTGAAAGAAGACCTTAGAAAGGGTAGTGATAAGTATTTGCCATGTTTCTTAGTTAAACTACATGTTTTCAGGTTTAAACCAGTCTGGAGAAATGGGGGGAAAAAAGTCCAACTACTACACATGCTACAAAATTATTTTCATATTTGCCTCAGATATTTGGATACTGTTCACAAGAAATATGGGTAGAAATACTGTAAAATACTATGTAATGTGCTAGTTACTATTAAAGATTATGAACAGTTTGTGTAATAAATAATTTTTCTCTGTTTACGTCACCTTTGATGCATCACTAGCTCAATCTGGATGGGGAGGGAGCAGTTCTCCTTCCAGTCCGTGTGTGGACAACGGCACTGCAGCTTGGGGCAAACCCGCTGACACACCCACCAGCTGGGGAGACTCGAATGACAGTGGAAATGCCTCGGGGTGGGGAAACCCCTCCCCTAACCCAATCAAATCTGGTGAGGTGGCAGCATAGTTTTAATTAAAAATGTGAAATGTATTAATGCAAGTGACATAATTTGGTTATCATTATGAATCTGCCTTTTTTAAATGTGCAGTCATTATTGAAATACAAGCATGCTAGTCTGGAGTAAAATATTCACATTGGTTGTGAATATATTTTTGTCCTAAAGGTTCAAAGTCTATGCAAGAAGGCTGGTGTGAGAGAGAGGGATCCGTCAGTGCTTCACGTCACTCCAGCTGGGAGGAAGAAGATGAGGGAGGCGTAATGTGGAATAATGCTGGATCCCAAGGCAGCAGCTCTTCCTACAATTCTGGGGGCTGGGGAAGCAAGAAGGGAAACAAGGTATGGTGAGCAAACTTTGCCTAAATGGTATACAATGATTGAGATTGGATGCAAATAAAGGTCATTAGCTTTCTTAAAAGTTGAACCCCATTTTAAAACAGTTGCAGCTAATCGTGTGTGTGCATAGGGAACAATGTGCAAAATATCAAGACTATTATGGTTCATGTTCAAGATTGTACTGAAGATTAAATCGCATTTTTCTCTCAGGGTTCAGTAAAAAGTGGAGACTCTTGGATGAACCCTATGACTAGGCAGTTTTCAAACATGGGGCTTCTGGTAAGTGCTTCCAGAGCGATTAATTCAATAATACAGTGTGAAAGCATTTAACATTCCATAAGCTCATCGAGCTTTATTTTTGTCTATTTTATACTTTATTTATTTGAGCTACATTAATGGTGAAGGATTCTTTTCCCCCCTTCAGGGAGAGGATCCCAGTGGCCGTCCATTGGATCTGGCCCCTGGTCCTCCTCAAGAAAAAAAGGTAGATGCAGACAAACGAGGTGTGAGTTTGAATGACTACAATGGAGAGATGCGCAAAGGAGGGCGTGGAGGAGGAGGTGGTGTAGTCTTCCGTTCCCCTGGTTCCAAAGAGGTTGGGCCTGGTGAGCCTGGGCCTTACTATGACAAGGTATGACAGTTTCTCTGAAGTCTGTGAATCTCTGTCTTTTTTGATTAGTTAACCCTCTGTATCCCTGTATTCTCCTATTTTAATTTCTTCGCTTAACTCTTCCCCTCTCTCACACCTTTTTTCCCTTAATTAAACCCTGTATTTGGCCCTGTCTGCTTTATTCTTGCTGTGATCAGCAGACCTTGCCTTTCACCAATCAGGATGGGTGCCTTGGGGAGGAGGGGCCTTGTTCTCCATATTCTTCGCCCACAGTCTTCAAACCCTCTCCCCTCTACAACCACCCCAATCCCCCTAGACAAGTAAGGCTGTGCCATTGTATATCTCTTAGCCCATCTCAGTCTCACTGCGTCACCCTTGGCCAGTTACCTTTTGAATTATTGTCTGATAAAACCTTCCATTCTTCAAACTTAAATATTACCCTCAAAATACCTATTTGTTCTGTCTCCTTAACTCTTCTATTTGTTTTCTGTCTTGGATAGAGCTTCAAACCACCACCACCCCCACCCTACCCCACCTCAAAATGTCTTTTTATATTCAGGGAGTTGTTCAGGCATGTGGTCATTCTGTTTTGTCTCACTTGTTTCCTCTGCAGATGGGTGGTCATATGTTTGGTGGTGGTGTTGGTGGGATGGCGCAACCCAGGCACCAGCCAGGAGTGCCACCTGTTAACCCGACTGTACGAGCGCAAGTGCCTCATCAGTTCCTGTCACCTCAGGTACAGAACTTTGCAAGTCCTAAAGGAATAGTTGAGCTCAAGTAGGCACAATTTATTCATTTATGCCCTACCAATTAATATAATGAAAACTGCATGTCTAAGACTATGTTTACACAACAGATAAAAGTGACCCAAATCTGTTCTTTTTCTTCATATGTGACACAGATCTGTTATCTGTGTGGCAGTGTGAACCACAAAAAACGCGTTGAATCTGACATTTTCAATTCCAATTTGAGATGCTCTCATATGTGGTCCTTAATCCGATACGTATCCAATATGCCACAGTGCGACTCAGTCTGAACAGCCAGATTGGAATTCATGCGACTTTTACGTCAATCCAGCTCAACATTCGTCATAGTTTCGCACTGCTGAGACCTCACAAACATTTGGGGTGATATTTCTGTGCAAAAATCAGAAGAGACCTTCTATGTTTGAAGAGATTTTGAAAGAAATGGGCGAGCGAGGCTGCAGCATCAAAGAACAGTTAAAAGTCTGAAAGCAAAGTTTACGGAATCCGAGGACACTAACCAAAGAAGTGACCGTGGCTGAATAACGTGCCCTTTTTACGGCGAGCTCGAAGACATTCTGGGTGATGAGCCCAGCTGTCAGTTTAGGAGCGTGATCTGTTTAGACTAATGTTGCATATAGGTCACATTTAAAATATATATTGTGAACAAAAAAATCGGATTTGGTCAGAAAATCAGATTTGGGCCACTTTTACCTGCTGTGTGAACATAGCCCAAGTCAGCACACACTTGCCTCTTGACATTCTGTTTAAAATATAAAAATGAATAAAAGTATGGATAAAATTCAGGCTTCAAAATGGCTGTTGCTACTTTTAGTTGTGCGGGACACCTCAGTCCATTTCTGTAGATAAGTGTGGCCAATCGTATGGATTTCAAGATATGTATTTAGTTAGTCGTTTTTTTTGTTCTGTCCTGTTTCTTTACCAGTTATAATTTTAATAGTAAGTTTCTTTTTAATGCTGTTTGGAAATGTCCAGCGACTACAGTGGTGGACGAAGAACATAAACCATGTACTTGAATTAAAGTAGAGATACCTAAGGTAAAATATTACTCCAGTAAAAGTAGAAGTCCTCTCTGTAGACCTCCACTTGAGTAAAAGTACAAAAGTATTTGCCTTCAAATGTACTTAAGTATCAAAAGTAAAACTACTAGAAGATTAATAATGGCTCTAATGCCCTATTATCATTTTGTAACAAGACTCTTGCTTCATCTACTCAGTTTAGGTGAAAATACTCTAGTGTCACTCTTGTAACACCAATATTTTATTAGAATGTCATTAAATTTAGTTTGTATTGAATTTAAACTTGTTTACATTTAATAGAAACTTGCTTTAAACACATTCACAAATGAGTTTTCCTTTACTACAACCCCATTTCCAAAAAAGTTGGTACGCTGTGCAAAATGTAAATAAAAACAAAATTCAACAATATGCAAATCATTTAAACCTTATATTTCATTGAAAAAGTACAAAGACAACAAATCAAATGTTGAAACTGAGAAATATTATTGTTTTTTGAAAAATATATGCCCTTTTTGAATTTGTTGCTAACAACATGTTCCAAAAAAGTTGGGACGGTGGCATGTTTACCACTGTGTTTCATCACCTCTTGGTGATGGGAACTGAGGAGACCAATTGCTATGTTTTGTTTTCCATTTTTGCTTAGCATAGGATTTCAGATGCTCATCAGTCCGGGGTCTCCTTTGTCGCATTTTTCATTTTATAAGGTGCCAAATGTTATCAGTGGTGACAGGTCTCGACTTTGGCGTTTTCCCTTGCACACAGAGATTCCCCCAGATTCTCAATCTTTTCATGAAATTATGTACTGTAGATGATGAAAAGCAAAAGTTCTTTGCTATTTTATGTTAAGAAACGTTATTCTTGAATTGTTGCACTATTTGATTGTGCAGTCTTTCGCGGAGTGGTGAACCCCTCCTCATCTTTACTTCTGAAAGACTCGGCGTATCTGGGATGCTCTTTTTGTACCCAATTATGTTACTGACCTGTTGCCAATTAACCACCAGGTGTGTGTTTTAAGCATTACACAATTTTACCAGCCTTTTTTTTGCCCCCATCCCAACTGTTTTGGAACGTGTTGCTGGCATCAAATTCAAAATATGCAAATAATTTTCAAAAAACAATTAAATTTCTCAGTTTCAACATTTGATATCTTATCTTTGAAGCATTCTCCATGAAGTATAGGGTTTAAATGATTTGCACATCATTGCATTTTGTTTTTATTCATTTCTCACAGCGTCCCAACTTTTTTGGAAATGGGGATGTATACTGCATCTGTAGGTCTCTGTTCATAAACATAAACTAGCCAAAATGAATGTACCATAAAATGAAAGTGTTTGCATAAATTCAGAAAAAAGACACATGCCAGTCACAACTGCATATGTGTACATATTTCTATATTGTGGTCTATTTACACAAAGTTATGTCAGAGTCAGGAGTTTCGTCATTTATGTAGACATAGGCACTCCCAAAATTTTATGCTGCTGCACTGACGTTGAACCGTATGCTTGCACTGGGTAGGTATGTCCAACAGGTCAAAACAAGCTCAAAACAAAGTGCGTGCTGTACCCTGATTGGTGTGCTTGCTTCACGCTTCTTTTGTTTTGACATGTTACGTTTTTATGCACACATAAGCCAAAAGGAAAAACAGATTTCGCATAATGTAGTGGAGTAAAAAGTAAGGTATTTGACTGTGAAATGTAGTGGAGTAAATGTAAAAAGTCACCAAAAATGGAAGTGTTAATTTGTGGTTCATCATGCTGTCGGTTAGGTTCCAGGTTCTGTTTTGAAGCAAATGCCTCCTCCAAGTGGGGGCGTTGGAGGAGTGGGTGGAGGGGTGTTCCCTCCTCAGCTCTCCCCACAGCACATCGCCATGCTCAGCAGCATCTACCCCCCTCACATCCAGTTTCAGTTGGTGAGTGTCACCTTTGAAGCTGGGTAATCAACTTTACAGAAGGCATCCATCACTTTGAATTGTCTTAATGTATTTAGGGATGCATTGGTACTGATACTGGTATTGAGCCGATACCAGTCGTAAAAATTCTTGTACTCATAAAAATTCGCTAATACCAGCTGATACCTTTTGCCCTAATGTGACTCAGATCTGATGTTTTCAGGGCTGTGTGGACGTGTAAATCTGATCTTTTCAAATCCGACCACTTTCATGTGTCCTGGATTGGATATGTATCCGATTTGTGGCCATGCGACCTTAATGTGAACACTCAGATCGGAATTCATGTGCTTTTCTTCCACTGCGCGTGCCAGCCATCGGAACTTCATGATCACTCCTGTGATGCTGGCATAGATGAAACTGAAAGCTTTGGGAGCGACTGGCGTTCGTTGGTCATGATTGTTTACCTCTGGATGAGCGCACCACTTGAAGCAAAAACATTGTTCTGTTGCGCATGCAGGTCAGTTTAGGAGCGTGATCTGTTTAGACTAATGTTGCATATAGGTCACATTTAAAAGATATTGTGAACAAAAAAATCGCTGTGTGAGCCCAAGTCAGCACACACTTGCCTCTTGACATTCTGTAAATATAAAATTCAAAATATAAAAATGAATAAAAGTATGGATTAAATTCAGGCTTCAAAATGGCTGTTGTTACTTTTAGTTGTGCGGGACACCTCAGTCCATTTCTGTAGATAAGTCATTCAGCGTTACCATGGCAGCAGCGCCGAACAGAATTTAAAGCCTGTAAACAGCGGAAAAGCAGCACATCTCACCTTTCTTGCCTTCGTCTCAATCTAATAAATAAGTTAATTATCTTCGTAGGGAAGACACTCGTTCTGCTCTTTAGTTTGTTTGCTGATGATGCATGTGACGCACGTGATTGAATCACGTGACGTTACTGAGTAGGATGTACTCGTTGCAGGTCATTTCTGGACGCTGGTTCGTTCACATCAATGATGGATTTGAATCACTTACCTAAATGAGTGTGAACCATCATGTCAGAGAGACTGGATTTCAGCAATGAGGCTTGTAATGTGAACATAGCCTCAGGTTGCATAGCTAGCTAATGCAGTTCATTTAAAATCGGGTAGATTTTAATGATTTAAATTGGCAAAGTACATTTAACTCATTTGCACGAACAGCTGCTTAAATCTTAAGTAGGTTACGCAATATGGTATCAGACTCTGTATTAGTGAGTACTAAAAAAAGTTGTACTCTTAAAAAATGGTATTGATGCATCTCTAGTTGTAACATTTAGTAATGTTATTTTTTTCTGTTTGTTGAATAGTATTTCTTTCTGTTGAATAGGCTGCAATTTGTAAACCAAAGATTTCCTGGGGTCCAGCATAGTTTGGCAATTCCTCTGCTCAGACACTCCAACTAAACCTGGAAATTAACTGATGAAGTGTGTTTGTGCGGGGAAATCACCAAACTGTGCTGCACTATTTCCAGGACTAGGTTTGATGGCCTTTGTTGTAAATAGTTTAGCTCTGGCTTCTTCACAGGCGTGTCAGCTACTCCTGCAGCAGCAGCCTCAGCAGCAGCAGCAGCAAATGCTGCAGAACCATCGCAAGTTCCCTCAAAATGTACGTCAGCAAGCAGACCCACAACAGGTACGGACCTGTGGCCAATATGAAGTGCATCACCAGGGTTCCTGTGGATCCTTGAAAAGTCTTATAGTCTTGAAATAGATATTGAAGATTTCATAAAATATTGATGTCATGAAGCAGTACAAAAAAAACATATCCATCCAGAATGTTACTTTATGCTCACACTAAAAATTAACTAATTATAATTACTGTAGTATTAATTGGCAGAGTAGCATAACATTGGGTATAATAAGAGCATCCCTGAGAGGCTGAGTGTTTGAGAAGATTGGGAGGGGAGGGAAAGACTACACAGACAAATAGTGTAAAAATTAAAGAATAAAGTTTCTCAACATAATATATCAAAGAACTTGGGATTTCATCATCTTCAGAACATAATGTCATTGAAAGATTCAGAGAATTTCAGAGAAATCTCTGTATGCCAGGGGCAACAATGAAAACCAGTATTGGCTAACCATAATCTTTGGGCCCTCAGGTGGCTCTACATTAAAAACCGACCGCTTCTGAAGTGGAAACCACTGCATGGGCTCAGGAACATTTGCAAAAACAATTGTCTGTGAACACAGTTTGTTGTTTCATCCACAAATGCAACTTCAAACTTTAACCATATAACCATATATAAACAGGATCCAGAAAAATCATTCCCTTCTCTTGGTCCAAGCTAATTTAAATTTATTTCATGTACTGTGGTTCGTCGAATCAAAATTTTAATTTTTTTTTGGAAATCATGGCTGCTGCGTCCTCCGGGCTAAAGAGGAGAGGGACCATTCAGCTTATTGTCAGTGCATAGTTCGAAAGCCAGCATCCATGATGGTATTGGGGAGCATTAGGGCATATAGCATGGGTGACTTACACATCTGTGAAGGCACCATTAATGCTGAGCATTCCAAACAGGTTTTGGAGCAACATGTACTGCCATCCAGATGACATCATTGCTTATTTCAGCAAGACAATGGCAAATAACATTCTGCATTGATCACAACATAATGGCTTCTTAGTAAGTCAGAGTGCTAACTGACTTCTCACCCATTAAAACCATTTAAAATAAAACAATGGAGGCTCCGAACTGTTGAGCACCCGAAATCCTACATCAAGCAGGAATGGGAAAACGACGGTTTCGTAGCTGTAGCAATTGGTCTCCTCAGTTCCCAAATTCAATCATTGCATTTTGTCTTTATTTACATCTTGCACAGTGTCCTAAATTTTTTGGTTGTTCATGTTTTTTTTCCTGACCAGTCAAATGAATAATAGATATTTAATACTTGCCATATTTGAGTGTGTGTCATCACGTGGGAGAAATGGTATGCCGAGGTCTTAAAAAGCATTAAATTTGATTTTAAAAATTGTGCAGCAACTGGACCTGGGTGATATCTAAATATGATTAGCACACTGTTCGTAGTAAAAAAAAACAATTGTGACTGTCGACTAGAGCCCATCCCCCCTTCTGAACAACACTCGCAGTCCACTGTAGCTTTGACCTACTTTCTGTTCTATTTTTAGGTTATATGCTTTTTTTTAGCATTGGCTGTTTTAATGAAATCTTTCATGAAACACAATATAATCAATATAATATTGATTACCCCATCATCTTTTGAAAACTATTCCACCTGTCATTTTAATGGATGTTAACTTGCGTTTATCATGGATATAAATACATAGATGTCGTGTTGCTGTTTGTTCCCTATCTGAAGTGGTAAGTCTGCCATGTTGGAGCAGTCACGATCTGCTAGTAAACGAAAGCACCTCAGTTTCAAACAAAAGTTAAACAAGGAAGCTGATATAGCCACGAAAAATGGCTGAGAGAATTAATATTCTGATTTACATTTGTCTGATCTTTGCAGGCATTGATAGGATCTCTCTTGAGCAGAGAGACAGCAGATCAGACAACAATCATCATATTTATGATCTAGATTTTAAAAATCTGAACATGAAATTTGCTATCCTAAAAATACATATCAGATGTAAATGCGAGTGTACAAACAAAAATTTCTCAAACATCAACAAATCCATAAATGTGTAAATCACTTCTAATGTTCATACATACAAAAATGAAGTAAACCCCTAAAACACAGTAAGGCGATGCTTGTGTACTTTAAATGTTTTATACGAATTAAGGTATGCTATCCCTACAATGCACACTTACTCAGCATTAACAATCATTGTAATTAAATGAATATAACTACTTCACATCAAGTTAAGATACCCTGTATGGGTTATTAAATCAAATAAGCTTAATATAAAACCAGGGCAAAAACAATTACACCACCAAGTTTTCTGTGCTTTACCAACCACATGGTCATATCTATATTTAAACACTGACATGAGTGTTGAATGCAGCGTTCACCTCATTATATAATCCTATCCCATTGTGCCATGTTCGTGAAATAGTATAATTTGGACGATTCCTTTCCTAAACTGCTGCTCTGTAAGCTGCTGAACTGCATTCAGTAGAATATGTTGACTGCCCCAAACTGGCGGCGCCATGTTCAATGATGTGACCGGCTGAACCCAACGTGGCATCTGTTTGTGTATACCTACGTATGTTCTTGACCTCCTTCTGGTGCAGATTCATGGCCACTTATGTGCTGGTAGTGCTCCCTGCTGGAGAAACTTAACTTTACATGTACTTCAGATATTTAAAAAATTGAGGTGTTTTCTGTCATTATAGCAGAGTATATCTGGGGTTCAGCTATAGATACCTTTTTAGAAAAGCATGTAGTATTATAATTTCATCATTTTCATAATGCAGCTAACAACTGGGACACTTAAGCTTTATAGAAAATACTGCAATTTTTTTTACAATTTACTAACTTTTATTGCAAATTTTAATGCCTAACAGCTTTTGCATGTCCCATTGTAACTCAGTGCTTTAATAGTAAAGGTGAATAAATTGTTATGCATACATATTATTTAATATTTTTGATGCCTTTTTTTGATCCTGTTTCCTGGCCAAAGACAGGGATCAGAAGAACTTTCTCTACTTCTAATAGTTCCAGGTTAGAGCTAGCTGGTCTAAGGTAGTGGCCAGTGATTTTAGCTTAGTTGTTTATTGCCATGAGTCACACTGAAGCTAGTTGGAGTTCCAAAGCATGTCAGCATTTATTTTCAGATCCATGCAGTCAAGCTAGACTTAACATAAAGTAAAATGAGTAGAAGAGAAAGAAAACTGTGCAGTAGGTAAAGCTATCAAGCATCAACTATATCCAGTTACATCGCCCAATCACCCAGGCCTAGCAACAAAACTGACCAGTACAAGGCTTTTCTTTGTGTGGTGGATTAGATATTATTATATCTCATGCTCTGAGAGTACCTGATCTGTTCAGAGTCCTTTTAATTTGTATGCGTTTGTATACAGAGCAAAACCTCTAAATTAAATTTATCTCAGTTGCATTGCAGCACACAGATTGTGATTTGTACACATCACAGACATAGAGAATTTATAACACGTTTTTGTTTTGTAGCTTGCCAGAATCATGGCTGTTCTCCAGCAACAGAGACAGCAGCAGCAGCAGCAGCAGCAGCAGCAGGTGGGTAGTGCAGTTGGGAGCTCTAAGCTGTCCCCTTCTCACCTTGGTAGTGGTGGCCCAAAAATGCCGATGTCTGACTCCCTCTCTCACCCCGGCCTTGGCGGCTCGGTAGCTGACCTGCATCTGAAATCGGCTACATATTCAGGTGAGCTCAACCTCTTTTTGTTGTTACTAACTAGAAATATGGCAGTATAAAAATTTCTTACACTCTAAAAAGTGATATGTTATAAAACAGTACACTTACCTGTGTTGCCTGTTTTAAGTTTTTTGTTGTTTTTTTGTTTTGCCTTATTTAACACAAAATGTGCTGCCCTTAACTGTACATACCCATATGTCTAGTTAAGGGTAGATTGTGTTGTATTTACCACATTTTAAGAGTGCATTGTTGCGTCAGTGACAAAAATTGTCATTTTTGGTATTATGGTGGTACTGTTCAGCGAGGCGGTGCACAGCTAAAAGGAATACATATGAGGCCTGCAAACACATGACAGACAAACCATGACATGTTTTCCAAAACAAAGCCTTCTCTAGAGCTGGGCAATATGACAATATTTTATTATGTTATTGTGATAAATGACATCTCAATATGTCATATGCTATACTGAGTATACCATGCATTTTATCAGTACTTAATCACTTTGCAACTGCATTTTTCATTAAAATAGCTTAATTATTCCTGTTTCATTGGATTTAGTGCAGTGTGAATGTTGAATACAAGTGATTGGATTCATAGTTTTTTGGTAGTATTTTTAAAATGTGATACTACTTTGTCTTAACTTTTAAAAAATATTGTGACACCTTGTGTATTGTTTAACCTTCCTGAACTATTTTGATATTACATCTTCAATACTGCCCACCTCTAGCCTCTAAAGACACTGAACTTCAAAAACAAATTAACATACCTTGCTTTTACTGTAAAGAAAGGTTTTGGAGTGTCACCTCCTTCTGCCAAGGTTTTCATGAACTAGCAAGTTAGTGAACACATTGCTTATTGCTTCTGTGTTGTAGCTTTGCAGACTGTAGCAGTAGCTTTACTATCATTGCTATCCACAAAACCGGTAAATGTCCCATTCCTGTTAGTGACTTTTACACTTTGCTTTAAATAACTGTAATTGTTGAATTGTTGATTGTTGCTTTAAGGGTTTGGTTCTGGTGTGAGTCTATCTGGTCTTGAGTTGGGTCACATGGTTGGTGGTACAGCTGGACTTAAAGAAGGTGGGGGACAGCAATCCCGCTTTAAATGGATGATGGAAGGTCACACGCCAGCTCCTTCCTCTCCAGACAATGCACTTCACAAAAACGGTGAGTAGTCTGTCTGGCAACATTTTGCCTTAGCTATAAGCAAAAGGTTTTTAACATTAACCTTAATGCTCCATGCTTCTATTCCTAGGCCCTGTTGCCGCTCCTCTGAAGAGAGGCAGTTCCCCATACTCTCAGTATGAAATGCTTGGAGTAGAAGGTTTGGGGGTGCCTCTCCAAGGGTCTTCAGACAGCTGGCAGAGAAGTCCTGGGAACAAAATGGGAGTCAAAACTGGCACATCCAGCTGGCCTCCAGGTACATTATATTTTACAAAGTGCTAAAGCATTTTTCAATACCTGGGTCTTTGCTCCTGAAAGTAATGGTATATTTTGTTTTTTTTGTTTTTTTTTTTGGTGTAGAATTCCAACCTGGAGTGCCTTGGAAAGGAATGCAGAGTGTTGACCCTGAGTCTGACCCCTACATGACTCCTGGGAGTATGCTAAGCTCATCTGCAGTGTCAAGTCTCAATGATACTGAGCATCAGTTGCTGAGAGATAACACAGGTACATATAATCACAACCAGCACAGATTAGGCCCCTTAATATGAATTAATCGAATAGGCATATAAATGAAATTTACACTGTGTGTACATTCAGAATCAAACCCCTCTCTGAACACCTTGCTGCCTTCACCTGGTGCCTGGCCCTACAGTGCCTCAGACAGCTCCCTCAACAATGCACATAACCCAGGTAACACAAAAGTTGAAGACTTGCAAAGATTCTGTTATGGTATGGACAGCTCATCCTTGTTCTCACAATTTTATAATCCACCACATGAATAGCTGGAAGGTCATGTGGTTTATTTCATGTTCTGTACCTGCAGCTAAGTACCCCGAGTACAAACCAAGCTGGCCCCCTGAGCCCATTGGACACAACAAGCCTTGGAAGACCAATCGCAACACTTCCCAGCTGCCGCGCCCACCTCCTGGACTCGCCCATCAGAAACAGCCCTCCACGTCCCCATGGGCAGGAGGGACACCGCGACTGGGCAGAGGCTGGGCTGCCTCTGGAAGCAACCAAGAAAACAGATATGGGCCTGGTAACCTGTGAAGACAAATGTCTTAGTGTATTGCAATTAGCAGTCTATTTTTAGGTTTTACATTTGTTTATAAGTGCTTTATTTATTTGTTCACCAGAATATTAGTCAGATTACATGAGTTGATTGCCTCGGAAAATGATGGGGTCTGTATGTGGTGCGTGTGAATGTGTTTTTAATAGGTTCAGCATGGAGTGATGGCGGAGCTTCAAAGGGAAGTTGTTGGCTGGTGCTGAGTAATCTTACTCCTCAGGTATGCGGTTAAAAATCAGAAAGACAAATTTGGCTGCTTGCACTGATGGGAGAAAAAGGAGATATTTACAGTTTTTAGGCTTGATTGGCTGTCTTGGAAAAAAAAAGAAAAAAGGCAACCTAAGTGGCCTGAGTGTAGGTGATGGTCTTTTTTTTGTTTGTTTGGTTTTTTCCCTGGAAAAAAAGGTTCTTGACTGAGCTTATCTCACTGTGTCTTTAGATTGATGGTTCCACTCTGCGCACTATCTGTATGCAGCATGGTCCGCTGTTGACCTTTCACCTTGGTCTAACCCAGGGCAGTGCTCTGATTCGCTACAGTACTCGCCAAGAAGCAGCCAAAGCTCAGAGTGCCCTGCACATGTAAGCCAGTTGTATTGCTTATGCATGTTCATTGCTCATGACATCATATTGTATTTGTAAATATATTTTTATTGCTTTGTACTTCTGATATCTAAATTAAAAATATTTTTAATGTTTTTTGTTTTTTTTTGAGAATTTCACCAAAAGATCATTCTCAGGAACTATTAAACAATGTGTACAGATCTCAAACAGAAATATTCTTTTATGTATTGTTCTTCAGACACCAGCATTTAATCTTTTTTTTTTTTCCCCCAGGTGTGTTCTGGGTAACACCACAATCCTGGCTGAGTTTGTGAGCGAAGAGGAGGTTGCTCGCTATTTTGCACATTCCCAGGCAGGAGGGGCTGGGAGCACCAGTGGAGGCAATGCGGGTGGAGCTGTTGCCGGGCCAACAGGAGCTGCGGGGTCATCCAGCGCCGGAGCAGTGGGTGCTGGTAGCACAGGCAGCATAACTGGCGGTGAAAGGGAGCGGCCTGGAGGTGGAAGTGCTGTTGCAGGAGGTAGTAACGGTGGTGGAGGTGGGCCTGCGGGCTCCAGCTGGCAGAGTTTGGACGGTACGGGCAGCTCCACTGACCCAGTCTCCTCCCAGGGCCCCAGCCTAAGCATCTTCGCCCAGTGGAGCAATGGTGCAGCTGGAGGCGGCGTGAGCAGCAGTACTGCAGGTGTGGAGCCAGCCAGGCAGGGGCTTTGGGGTGGCATGGCAGCAGGATATCCCAGCAGCAGCCTGTGGGGGTCTCCAGCTTTGGAGGACCGGCACCAGATGAGCAGCCCTGCAGCACTGTTGCCTGGAGATCTGCTGGGTGGAGGGTCTGACTCTATCTGACTGACACAACACACTTGCACACAAACACACATGCAAACACACTTTAACAGCACACACATAAAAAATGAGTAAAATTAAAAGCACCCTCTTTTGCATCCACAGTTAAGTGAATACAAGCACTCTCAAGCGGCAGTTTGCATATATACCCTCGGTGTAGTGGAGAGACACCGAATACATTAATATAAAATAATTAGTAAATGCATTTGCCAACAGAACTATATCATATATAATTCGCCAACACAAGCACTCAAATACATGGAACACACACACATACAAAAATACAAATGTACTCAAATGCTGACAAACTGAAATGTCATTACAAATGCCAATATGCATTATAGCATAAGAGTTTCAGACAACACTGGTTACAGTTGTACACACACTGTTAAACACATCAGTTTCACACAGGAGCTGTGTTCCAGACCCTGCTCTCCATAATCCAATCTCCATTAAAAAGTCCATTCTCAGGAGCATGGAGATTTAGAGTATGGAGCACAGTAATTTTTTTTTTTTCTCATAAGTATTTGCAGTGTGAAACTGCTGACTGATATACAGACGCACACGCCTACACATCCCTTGTACACCTTTTATCCTTAAATGAAGACTTTTTCAGCAAGACTTGAACAAAAAAGATACAGTTGGACTTAAACACAAATTCAACTGGATAAATTCTACAATCTTTATATAAGATCACACTCGCATACTGAGGCAGCATCACTCAGGCATGCACTGTAGGAAAAAATGGACAAATATATATGCATCATACAATGTTCTATGTGATGTTGAACACTCAGCATAGAGGATTAATTCATAATGTTACAACTCTCATTTACTGGCAAAGTCAAACACACTTTACTCAGCCACGCTGATGTCTGATTGTATCTGTTGTCTTTATTTGTTTTAAATGTGGAACATTGGAATCCAGAGATGTTTCCCTCTTCCTTTAATATGCTGACCTCGTTTTTTTTTTTTTCTTTCTTTCTTTTCCTACTCAATCAAGTTCGTCATGACTAGTATGTTCACTTGGATGTTAATTACCTGTACAAGGCACCCTTTTGGCCTGTGTGTGCATGGAGAAGTCCTTAACGGAGAAGTCCTTAACGGAGAAGTTGATATGGAGTATTAGTGTGGCATCAGTGAATGTGTCCATGAGAGATTTATGAAGTGTGGCATCTTTGCTAATATCTATGCTAGTTAGGGAGGCGAATAAATGTATGTGTGATGGCTTATTTCAGGTCTTTTGGCATTTGTGTGCTGGATAAGTGTATGCAGATATGTCTGTGTGTGTGTGAGTGTACGTGGAAAGAACATTGGCACTAATGAATATTTCTTACGTTGTGGTTTTAGCAGCCTTTTTTTGTTTTATATATTGTCTGAACTGCAATAATATTAAAGAGAAAAGCTTTGTTTCTTTTTCTTTCTTAAGAAGAAGAAACAACCAACTGAAGGCATTCATACTGAGACATGCCAAACTTATTGTACCAAGCTGAGCTGGATGGATGTTTTAGGAACACTTAAAAGTTACCAATTGTTTATTTTTGTTGTCGTGTACCATTTTAAATTAAGGCAGGCTTTATCACTCCTGTTCAGGTTGTTTTCTGATTTTACAAAGAAAAAGGAGAATTAATTTAACAAAAGAACAAGACGATTAATAAAGGTTGAATTAAAGTATTTTTCTCACTTGTGCAAACTTTGATTCATCCTGTTTTATGTTTTTATGCTGCCTTCAGAAGCAGAATAATGAAAAACCAACCGGAAGCATCCAAAGCAGCAGAGCTCTGGACATTTTTGCTATGCTCAGAATAGGGGTGGACAATATGAACATAGTTATTATTATTGTGATGACTTGTGAAATAAAATTGTATTCAAAGTTTTTGATTTTAGTAGTAGTTGTGGCACTACTATAGCCAGCTTCAGTTTGTCTTCAGTAAGTGAAAAGCATGCTCAGTTGAGCTGAGGTCAGGTGATTGACTTGACTTGAGCATTCACCCTGCTACTTCAATCAGCAGTCATATGAACAATAAACACCAGTGATCCAGTCATACATGCCCATGCCATAAGAATGGGTCTTTCTTTGCCATGGAAAGAATTCTGTGATCATCTACTTTAGTTGTCTTCATTGGTCTTCTACTTTTGGTGTTGTTCAGCTTGCCACTGCATTCCTTCTTTTTAAGAATGCTCAAAAGTTTCTGCTATCTCTCTGATAGGTTTGTTTTGTTTTTTCAGCTGAATGATGGCCCTCCCTCACTTGTATTGACACACTCTGGATTGCATATTGAGAGTTCCCATGAACAGCTACCAGATGCATATTCAACACTTGGAATTAACTCCAGACCTTTTAACTCCTTAATTTGTCATGAAATAACGAGGGCACAGGCCACACCTGGTCATGAAACTGCGTATCAGTCAACTGTCCAGTTAGTTTTGAACCTGTGAAAATGAAGGGACTATGTAAAAATGACTATATCCCAATGAATGCAGTATTTTTGTTAAACTCCATGAATTAAAACTGACAGTCACTTTAATCGCACTTTAAATCCATTGTGATGGTATAGAGTGGCAAAATGACAAGAATTGTGCCACTGCCCAAATACTTATGGAACTGACTGTATTTTGACATTTTAATTATATTGCCCACGCTTAGCTGAGCAGAAACCGTCAAAGCTCTGGTCATTTTTTGTCATGCAGTGGAACATGAATGGATTTTCCTCATTATTACATACTTCTGCGGAACAGGTTTGTTTGTCCTTTAAACACATTGGCTGTAAAAAACGTACAGGGTGTATATGGAGTTTTTCTTGGTGCAGTTGTTTACATGCATTCCAGTAAAATCAATAGCGTAAAATGCAAAATACATAATGATCTATAAGTAATGTAGATGAGCAGTTCATAGTTATAAAGTACATATGTACAATATGTATAGTAAAAGATGTGAGCAGTGGCTACTTCTAGTGCAGCTAGATCAAAGTGGTTCATCAGGGTTTTGTTGCGGTTCGATCAGTTATCCATTCGCGCGGCTCCTTGAAGTGATCCGGGTCCTTTTGCTCGGTTTTGAATGACATCATTTTAGTCACCACAGTGCGCTGGGATACAAAACAAAGCAGGCAGGGCTCGCGCTAGCTTTGCTTACGCAAGTAGGTCAATCCGAGTGGGAGCGTTCTAGAGAAGAGCTTTTAGAATTTCCTCCTCAAAGAAAAGAGGTGAATATCCCACTGGAATGAACCGTCTAAAAGCCCTCTTCCACCCGTCGCTCTCCAGGGTCCTGACCGTGCAGCCGAAAAACTCTTCCAACACCACCTTCTCATCATCAGGTAGGGGACGTGGGCCTGGTTTAAGGTCATACCAGGACGTACAGGGTTGGTGTGTTTTTAACGCCGGAGGAAAACAGTCTCTACTTGACTGTGCTGGTTGATTGCTCTGGAGTCAAGAAAGCATAGGGCGCGGCTGCGTAACCATCGGTTGCGACCCTTGGTTCCTTCAGTGTGGCCTACTGGTGGAGCTCTAATGTGGTTATGCGAACGCACTAGCAGAGCAGCGATGCAAAAAGAAAAGCATTTTAAAGCCAGATCGTTCTTAATTCTCACCACTCGTAAGCTTATAACCCAAGTTGGTAGACATTGGCGAGCCAGGAACCAACAAGCAGCCTTGCGTGGAAGCCAGGCTATGAATCGAACTACAGACTAAGAATCCTTCCTTAGGCTCCCAGTGCAGCCAGTGGTTAGCAATGCCGCCTGTGTGGTTCATATGGGAAAGAAATGTGTCAATCGTGTTATTTAGAAAATCATTTGGGAAAGTGCATAGAATGGTGCACAATGAACTCAGTTTTTTGTAACGTGTAGAATTTGTTTTTGTAACGTGATTCTTGTGCATGTTGTGGTCTTGTTTGCTATTACAACTAATAGAGGTGTAACGATACACATACTTACGATTTGGTACAATTTCAGTTGATGTAAAAATTACATTTTAAAATTTGTTGATATTACAGAGTTCTGTGTTTATATACTGTAGAGATTGTTTTGGGTCTGAAAATGACAATTCTTGTTTCAAAATAAAAGATTGCGATGTGCTACATGACCATATAAAATAATGCTACTGGGTCTTAGACAAAACCTGAAGCTCCTCATATAAAAGCTTCTGCTTTTTCCACAGTCTCCATTTTAACCCCCTCAAATTGAAATATCAACATGTCAGAAAAGCACAGATAAAATCTGTACAAAATCTATGCTGAGTCTGACACTGAGCATTAACTAAAACTGCATTACTCTTCAAGATTTGTCATGTTTTGTGGTTTCTTTGTGGTTTACAAACATGGTGCTTATTTTTTCCTCATTCTCAGGCAACTTTTAGAAAGAAATCATGGAGTTGCGTGTTGGAAACAAGTACCGCCTTGGGCGGAAAATTGGAAGTGGCTCTTTTGGGGACATTTACCTTGGTAACTAACTCTTTGTTTGGAATGTGTTTGACTGATGACCTTGATTACACAAGTGTTTGCTTCAATGTTGATTCAGTAAGTTTGCTCATTCATTTATACCTTTTATAAAGCATATTAGTCACAAGACTTCTTAATGACAGGTGCGAATATTACATCAGGAGAGGAGGTGGCTATCAAACTGGAAAGTGTGAAGACCAAGCATCCCCAGCTGCATATTGAGAGCAAATTCTACAAAATGATGCAGGGAGGAGGTGAGACTTGACAGCTGTGGATTATATTTCCTTTTACAACTACATCTAAGAAATTTGTCTAAGTTCTTCTTTTCCTATGTAGTGGGTATTCCGTCGATCAAGTGGTGTGGTGCTGAGGGTGACTACAATGTAATGGTGATGGAGCTGCTTGGTCCCAGTCTGGAGGACCTGTTCAACTTCTGCTCAAGGAAATTCACCCTTAAGACAGTGCTGTTGCTTGCAGATCAGATGGTAATGGGATATCCACAGTCAAGTTTTGAAACCATATAGGAAATGTTTTACTTTAGGGGTGATTGTACAGTCTTAAAAAGAAGCGTGTCAAACGGAACCAAAAAAGTTCTCTGTCGTGATGGCATAGAAGAACCACTTTTTGTTTCTGAAAGATCCTCTCAATGGATGTTTCTTAAAATGAGACACATAATTGCAAATAACCATTTTAATTTTTTAAGAGAGTAATTAAAGTTTTTCCTATCCAATCTGATCCAAGAACCATTTATTTTTAGGGATGTACATTTAAAAAAATTATGCTGTATACCGTCACTGTCATATCAAAACCTTATAACTATTTTTGTGTTTTATTGTGATTATTTGAAAAGATTGTCTGAACATTGCATGATAATTGCACCTAGAAATACAGAATTTGTTGGAATAAAATCTTGTTACATTAATTTACAATGTGTATTGTGATACTGTGATTTATTTATTTATTTTCTGTTTCACTGATAAAGAACTTCTTCAATCTCTCCAGATCAGTCGCATTGAGTACATCCACTCAAAGAACTTCATTCACAGAGACATCAAACCGGACAACTTCCTGATGGGTCTCGGCAAGAAGGGCAATCTGGTATACATTATTGACTTCGGTCTCGCCAAGAAGTACCGTGATGCCCGCACACATCAGCACATTCCCTATCGTGAGAATAAAAACCTGACTGGCACTGCCCGCTATGCCTCCATTAACACTCATCTGGGTATCGGTAAGAGAGCAGTAAGGATTTAATTAGGACTATAAATTTTCAATTCAATGGTTTAGTGCATCATGAAAACTTTTGATTTGGTTTTGTTGATATGATTCAGAATTATTTTTAAAAACACTCAATATACACAAATGAGGCTGGAGGGACTTTTTACACAGTAGTGGAATACAGAAAAACAATAAACCAAGCTTTTTGAGGCAAGACATTTGAAAACAGCCTGAGGTTATTATTTTGGCCAAAAAATGAATGCATACTTTGTTGAATATTATTATAATTCATTCTAAAATGCCCAAATCATTGCAGTTAACCACCATCTTCAGACTGTAACATGAGTAATGCATCAATACATATTTCTAATTCTGTTCATAACATATTGTACTGGTTTCAAACAAAGCTACAGAAATAGGTTTTTGCTTGTAACTGTTGGGTTCTCTTCCATGTGTCATCACTGTTTCAACAGAGCAGTCCCGACGGGATGACCTGGAATCTCTTGGTTACGTACTCATGTATTTCAACTTGGGCTCACTGCCTTGGCAAGGCCTGAAAGCTGCCACGAAACGGCAAAAGTACGAGCGCATCAGTGAGAAGAAGATGTCAACCCCCATTGAAGTGCTTTGCAAGGGCTATCCATGTAAGTATATACAGAGATACAAACACAAATGTGGTATCAATTAAAATAGAATCTCACACTTTCAGAAGAATTTCTCTGCTCATTTCAATGAGCTACAAGTAAGAAATAACTAATATCAAATCACAATATGCTTTTGTTATCACTAGCCGTAACTGTGACTCCTAAGGACTGAAAATGTTCTTCATACTAACACATCTCATTTACGAAAATTGTTCTTTGCAGAATCATTCATTGAAAGATTATATTCAAAAATGGTACTCCTTTTTGGAACATTTATTTTTAAATAAAAAAATACCTTTGCTTACTCTATGTAAATCTGTTCTTCTCCTGTCACTATGTCTGTAGCAAAATGCTAAGTTTATTACTCTTTTCCGCCTGCAGCTGAATTCTCCACATACATGAACTTCTGCCGCTCACTGCGATTTGATGACAAGCCTGATTACTCCTACCTGAGACAGCTGTTCAGAAATCTCTTCCATAGACAGGGTTTCTCCTATGACTATGTGTTCGACTGGAACATGCTGAAATTTGTATGTCACTCTCATTATCTACTTACTACCTACTTCTTTGAAAAACAACCATGACCTTAGATAATATGGTTAATGGTTTTGTCCCACTGTAGGTCAAACCAGAAAGATAATAGGGTTAATTGTGTTTATTTATGGTTGTTTATAATGTGAGAAGATTTTACGTTTTTCAACTTTGTGTGTTATTTTAAGTTAAATGGGTTATTTTTGTTGATTGAATTAAAACATTGAACACTTTGACTTTGCATGTTGCTGTGGCATCTTAGGCACTTGATATTCCACCCAGGGTGTTACTAGGGTTGCTAAGCAGTTGCTATGGTATGTTAAATAGGGATGATGTTGATATGGTTGATATTCTAGCTAGCTAGCTCCAATTACATGTAATATAATAAACAGATGTGGACTAAGAAGTGAAAAAATTATAATAATTTCATTTATGAATAATAAACAATATATTGTAATTAACCATATAAATGTTTATATATAAAACAATCACCACTTTTGAAATACAAGGTCAGGTCTAGATCTTATCCTGTCTTGTTCACCTTGGGTCTCTTTCAGGGATCCAGTAGGGCAACAGAGGAAAAAGAGAAGGAGCAGAGAGGAGGAGAGGGAGAGGAGAGAGATGAGAGGACTGGAGGGCCTCAGGGTTCTGCTGCCCGTGCACTGCCCTCTGGCCCCAATCTGCCAGCACCCAACAGAGTCCGCAATGGTCCAGACCCAGCTGGCTCTGCTCCAACCTCACGTGTCCCACAGTCCGGTGAGCTGCACACTCATAGCAGTTAGTGAAGACTAAATGATAACATTCTTGTCTCTTTAAGATGACAAAAATGAATGAATCAGGGTATAAATCTCTGATCTCACAGAAATTCTGTACTTTTAGGAAACAAATCTGTGCATCACAAAATCTTTTTGCCTTTATTCAACTAATGTTTTGTGATACAAAATCTTTTTTAAAAATACACTGAATTCTTGACAGTGAGTGGGAGGTTAATAAATAGGCAGCTTACCAAACCAATAGCTAGCTAGCTTCATTTACACATAATATACTAAACAATGTGGACTAAGAAGTGGGTATTATCATGAAAGGTTTGGTGGACTGAACTCACCAGCATTTTGACACATTTGTCCATTTTGTGTTTTAAACACCTTCTCCACACTGTCAGACTGCACACTACAGGACATGAATTCATAAACACCTCTGTAAAAGCTGAAACATTACTGTATCTTATTTTTTTTCATGTTGAAGACAATTGATCCTTACTTTGCCTTTCACCAACAGTGAATATGGTTAATGATTTTGTCATGCTGTAGGTCAAATCAGAGCGATATTTGGGTTAACTGGGTTTATATTGCAATATTTGGTTGAAGGTGGTGGACTGTTAAATGGGTTGTTTTTCACTATTGCATTAAAACATTGAACACTTTGAGCTTGCTGGTTGCTATGATTTTGAGTTCCAGGGGGTTTCTAGGCTGCTGTTGGTAAACAGTTGCTAAGAGGTTGGTGTGGTGTTGCCATGGTATTTTAGGTGGTTAATAGGGTGTTGCTAAGTGGTTGCTAGGGTTTTACTAAGGTGGCTGCTATGGTATGTCCAGGTGCTTGTTAAGGTGTTGCTAGGCACTGTTACTGTGACATCTTAGGCGGTTGCAAGGGTGTTATTAAACAGTTTATATGTTGATGGAGAGTGTTGCTTACAATTGCTGTGGTATCCAAGGTGCATGCTATGTGGTTATTATGGTATTCCAGGTAATTGCTGGGGTGTTGTTAGGTGGTTGGTAAGTTGTAGGGATCCTCTGATTTTCCCAATTACCTATAGCAGTGGTTCTCAAACCATTCCTCAGGGGATTCCAGTCAGTTTATTTTTTGCTCTGATCCAGCTCTTTTCGAACCTTCAGTGCAATGAAAAAGTCCTGCATGATTTCTTTTATTTTTGCATATTTGTAACACTTGTCAAGTCAAAATTTATTTATATAGTGCTTTTTACAACAAGCGTTGTCACAAAGCAGCTTTACAGAAAATCTAATCCAATTGAGCAAGCCAAAGGTGACAGTGGCAAGGAAAAATCCCCAAGAGCAAGTGGAACAAAACCTTGAGAGGAGCCAAGATTCAAAAAGGGAAGCCATCCTCATCTGGTTGACATTGGATTGTAAAACAATAACACAAGGATCTTTTCAGATCCTAAAACAAAATTTAAGGATCTGAAAAGACAAAGACAACCTGAACAAACACAAAATACAGTTTTTAATTGATCATTTCATTTACTAGAGGAAAGAAGTTATCCAAAACTCACTGGCCCTGTGTGAAAAAGTAGTTGCTCTCTTAGTTACTCAATCCATCTTTTAACCAAATTTAGTTGATAATTGGGATTATAAGCCTTAACTTGATCAGCTAATGTATACCTTTGTACTTTTTTATTGTTTGGAAATTATAAACCAGCTCATGTAAAACCCCAATTCCAAAAAAGTTGGGACACTGTGTAAAATGTAAATAAATATAAATAAAAACAGAATGCAATGATTTGCAAATCTCATAGACCCATATTTTATTCACAACAGCAACGCATCTCAAAAAAGTTGGGACAGGACCTTATCTTACATTGTGTAACAACCCCTCTTCTTTTAACAACAGTCTGTTAACGTCTGGGAAGTGAGGAGACCAATTGCTGGAGATTTGAGAAAGGAATGTTGTCCCATTCTTGTCTGATGTAGGATTCTAGCTGCTCAACAGTCCTGGGTCTTCTTTGCCAGATTTTTGTTTCATGATGCACCAAATGTTTTCTATTGGTAAAGGGTCTGGACTGCATGCAGGCCTGTTCAGCACCCAGACACTTCTTCTGCAAAGCCATGCTGTTGTGATGGATGCGGTATGTGGTTTAGCATTGTCTTGCTGAAATATGCAAGGCCTTTCCTAAAAGAGACGTTGTCTGGATTGGGAGCATACGCTGTTCTAAAACCTCTATATACTGTTCAGCATTGATAGTGCCTTTCCAGATGTGTAAGCTGCCCATGCCATAGGCACTAATGCAACCCCATGCCATCAGAGATGCAGGCTTTTGAACTGTGTGTTGATAACAAGCTTGATGGTCCCTCTCCTCTTGAGTCCACAGGACACAGCGTCCGTTGTTTCCAAAAAGAATTTCAAATTTTGATTCATTTGACCCAAACAGTTTTCCATTTTGCCACAGTCTATTTTAAATGAGCTTTGGCCGAGAGAAGACGGCGCCGTTTCTAGATCGTGTTGACTTATGGCTTCTTCTGTCCATGATACAGCTTGCATTTGTGAATTGCATGGCAAACTGTGTTCACAGACAATGATTTCTGAAAGTGTTTCTAAGCCCATGCAGTGATCCCCAGTACAGAATCATGCCTGTTTTTAATGCAGTGATGCCTGAGGGCCCAAAAATTATAAGCATTCCATGTTGACCGCTGGGCTTGTCCCTTGCGTACAGGGATTTCTCCAGATTCTCTGAATCTTTTGATAATATTATGTACTGTAGATGGTGTGATATCCAAAGTCTTTGCAATTTTACATTGAGGAACTTTTTTCTGAAATTGTTCCATATTTTTAGATTCAGTTTTTCATCCTTCAAACGCATCACCCATATTTACTCGCGTTTTACTATGTCTTTGGTCCTGGAGCTTTTCTTCCATGGCAGCAGTATGCTGGGTTTGCTGGCAAACTTATTTCATATCTGGCAACCCGGTGTCGAAATGGTATTGGGAAATAGGCAGTGGGCGGGATCACAGACCAAAACACACGCAGACTTTCTGCTTCGTAATGGAAAATAAAAACAGGACAAAAAGGAGAACATATACGGGCTGTACCATTTTTGTTGGAGAAGCCAGTATTTCAACTGTTTCCTTAATCTCTGATTATAAATATTGGTCACTTTATGATCTATTACAGTAATATAATATATATTGTATATATTGATGCATTTCTCACAGCAGCGAGGAGGCCTCTTTTCAGTAAATCTTGATCAGAAGAGAGTTAATTAAATGATGCTCCTAGAATTAAGATTAAGGGGTCAAGTGGCACAGATATAAGCAATGAACTCTTAATTTCCTAACAGATCCATCCGCAAAATATATTAATATAAGTGCAAGTCCATATAGATGGGTCCAGCTTTCTCAGTTTCTCGGAGGTGATAAACAGCCAGTGGACAATCTTAAATTGCCTGTCTGTAAACTGGTTGGAACTAAGATTAAAGTGAATACGGCCTATATAATTTATGTTCTTCAATGCATCTCCACCACAGTTCGCTTTCCAAAGATAAGAGGCAGCTGAGAGATGTAGGGCTGTATGCATATGATTCTATATGTAACCACAGGCAGTCTACAACTTTGGTAAACCATTTTTTGATTAAATTAAAGTGAGCTGCCCAGTTATAAAGCTGTATATTAGGAACATCTAATCTGCCTGAGCCTGTTAGGAGCTGAAACTTCCCCAGTTTAAATCTAAGCTTTCTGCCAGGCCATATGAAGTTGCGAGTAACAGAATTAAAGGGTCAATTATGCGTTTCTGTTTTTTTCCCTTTCCCGTAGTGTGTTATATTGCTTTTTGTGCAGGTAAACGATCTGCAAAGTCAAAGTCCAAAGTACACTCCCCCACAGAAACCACTTTTCTCAGCTGCCTGAAACGCCTTGTTAGAATTCCAGCCCTTTTCTTTTGTTACAAGATGATGCAATCTCATAACACAGTCCTTATTACCTGCCTACAGGCAAGCTTGGCACACCCTCACACAAGAGAGCTACAAAGAAGAAAATTACCTCTCTGAAACATCCTGCTCCAGTCTTGCTTTCTAAGGTGGATTGGGTCTAGCAACTTTTCTACCTAACTTGCAGTAGAACCAATGCCATTGTAAGAATAGCCACAGCAGTGTAGGGGCAGAACTTGTAGCAGATTTGACCAATCAGTTGACCAATCAGAACAGAGTGGGCGAGCTGACCAATCAGAACACACTGGACTCACCAGGGGGTCTCAAAGACACAGGAGAGACAGTTTCAGACAGAGGGTAAATACAGATGTACAATGTGAAGAAAATAAGATGTTTTTGGAACACTAAAGCATGTAAATCTATTCTAGTAGATCCCAGAACTAAAATGATAAATATTGAAAATGAGCATAAAACGTCCCCTTAAAGCTGTGTAATATCTTTTTTTGAAAGAGGTATAGCAATGATATGTATAAGATCCTATGCAAGATGCCCATTTTAACTATGCTCACTCTCCCTAATAATGATAAGGGAAGGCATGTCTAGTGTTGCAGATCACTTTTAATTTTTAGCATGAGTGGAGAAGTGTTATGCTTAAAAAAAATCTAGACAATAGGGATGCAACGGTACACTGTATATTGTCAAATCATTCTGAACACTCCCTACAGTTCAGTATGCACAGGTGAACTGTGGTGTTACGATATGCCTGTTATTACCCTAGAAATTCCAAAACTTGCTTATTGCGCTGCAATGTACTTTGTACATTCAGATCCACAGAACATCCATGGAGACTGTCAGCACTCTGTATGCAAATATAGCTGAAAAAAGAGGAGGAACTACAAACAAATAATGCCTCAGCTCCAACAAGTCAATGGCAAGCTCTAGCGAGACAGAGAGAAGTAAAGGCCACCGCACACTAAACGCCAAAAATTCAATTGCTTTTAAAGAAAGTACACATACCAGTGCTGACACTCCGAGTCGATGTGCATTTTTCTGAATAAAAAGTTTTATTTGTCTATAGGCGAAAAAAAAGAGTTGGGTGATG